TGCCACTTATCCAAAAAAGACTGCTCTCAGTAAGAAGCTTTAATTACTACACTACATTCTGATTTTAGACTTTTTACCTTATTTTTTTTGTAATTCTAAGTATGAATTTATGTATAATGAAGAATAAAATCTTAATTAATTGTCTAGTGGTTTTCTGTTTTATAAACAGCAGCTAACAATTGCATTCCTTGAGGAGATGGGTATCCTCCACCTCCTTTCCCCTCCAAGTAAATGTCACCAATTTTTCCACAAGTGAACTCAAAAATAGCTGAATTAATCCAGTTTGAGACTAACTGTTATAGGTTTGAGGGCAATAGTCAATGTTCAGAATAAAATAGTTAATACTTGACAATTCTTATTTTCAACTACCTCATCACACATGAAAGAGCCTCCAAAATATAAACCACAACTAATTGTAACATTCTGAATTATTATTCTGTCATATGGAAGACACATCAGACTACTTTACTTCAGCCATCCAGATAAAACGGGGTAAGACATCACCAAGAGTAAAACACAGAGTTTCAGTTCAGACTTCTTTCAAAATAGAATCAGTAGAGCACATCACTACACTATAAGCAATCTAAAAATCACTTGTTCACAAATCAAGAGGTAATGGGCAGTAGCAAACTATGACTTTTTTGAAAGAATAAATTTTAGGTTTTATTTAAATTAATCGTGATGCAGTTCCAATGGTAAAGCATGATAAAGACAACTGTGTTTGAGAATACAAGCTGTAAGTTTAGAATTAAACACTTCTGTATGATCAAGAAAATTCTTCATGATTACCTCAATAGCTACCTTATCCATGTAACATTTTCTCTATTTAACTACTCTACTTCAAATTTTCTCTTTATAATCCACAAATGGATGTACCACAATCCCTTGATACAGCTGTTTCCAAGCAGACGTCTTTTAACCAGTCAGAACAGATTATATTTTAAATTATCACTTTCTGTTACGAGATTCTGCTACCAGTCTAAACAGTAGTAGACATGTAAGTGTGGCCCAGTGTAAAAATGTTTGTGTCCATTTCTGACTTTAGAATTTTCTCATAATTTCATTTCTATAGCTCTTGCAATATTAGCCTCAATGGGGCTGGACACAACTGCTGCTAGCTTTCCCTCAGAAATTACTCTTTATTCCAAATTTTTAAAACAGATGCCTGCTCTTGATCATCTGAACATACGATTTTATTAGGAAATAAAAAAGACACTGAGACAATCATAAAATAGTGACAAAGCTTTGAAATATTAAAAGAGCACTCAACTGTCATAAAGAAAAAAGCCAACTAAAACCTTCATAATCATTTAAATTAAGTGCAGAAATGTTATATTTATCTGGCAAAATGGCAATATCTTTTTGGCATTATAATAGCTTTTACTCTCTGCCAACTAGTTTAAATGATACACTTAAAAAAAAAAAGGAAAAAAACTAAATGATGTAGCATACTAAGCCAGCAAGTGGCTTTTAAATAAATTATTCAGAGAAAGAGTAGAAGTAATGCTTTCAGTACTTGTGCTACAAGCGTTGTCCTGTGTATGTACTGTAGCCGATGTTAATACTTATTCCATAGTTCAACAATCCTCCATTAGCTAATTAAATTCAGTTGTGAACTTATTAACCAATATTTCCCTGACTATTTAGTTAAAGTATTTTGAGTGATATTCTATTAAATGTTAACAGACTTCCCAATGTACTGCAGTTTGCAAAATAAAAGTAATGGGTTATCTTCCATTTACACAGACTCTGTCCTCACTAAGAGCTCTTAACTCCTTTTGAAAACTTAAACTATAGCATAACTATCATAATTTCTATTCAGAAGTAATAATTGCTGCACGGATTTATTCTGTATGGTACCAGGCATCCCTAATCCCTTTTCAATTGCTAAATGTGAGAAAAGGAATAGAAATCACAGAGTACAAGAGTGCTCAGAACCTCCCAGGATTACTCTACAGATTTAATGAAGGATGACATTACTCCTCATTTTCAAATCCAGGCCTCACATTGGAGACAATAATAGACTTTAAATATAAATTTTGATTGCTATGCTATTAAGAAAAATGTTTTTAATTGGCTTACTGATTGTTATGTATACATTGTTAATGCACATCATTAACACACAACTGCCTGGGTTTGCTCAATTACTGTAGAAAACAATGTTTGTTCTTCTTGAAAACATAGTATGAAATCTAAAAATAACACTAAACCTCATTTTACCAAAACACAAGGGTCATACATATTTTTATATCTATACATGTATATACACACCTATGATGGATCACTTCCTTGCAAGCCTATCCTATCTGTCACTCATTATAGGAATCCTTGAAGTTCGCAATTAAAGCTTCCTATTCCTCCAAATTCCTATTCTCACAACCAAATCATCTTTATGCCAGCTACTTTGCCACCACTTTCATTGTTGTTACTCTACAGTTTCATCAAGTCATGAATTAAAAGTGCACAGAGGAGTGAACAGAATTCCTGAAATAAAAATTTTATCCTCTTATCACTCATACTGAATTACTACATGAGTTTCTCAGTAGACTTTTGTAATGTGCAAAGCTTTTGAAATATGTAAATTCATATTCTGTCAGTTAAAAAATACAGCATGTTCCTAAATCCTGATAATACTTGTTTGTACATTCCACACAGAAGCAGGAAGAATACATTTTAGCAACCAAAATATTAATGCTTACAGGTCAACAGCAGCAATTGCAATTCAGGGAAATCCTCCAATTGCGTTCTATTACACTGAATTCCTTATTTTTAACAACAATCAAAACACGTTAAGACAAAAGTTTATCGTGAATTCTCAGCTGTACACCCAAAATATCTACAGTCACTGAAATCTATATATGAACAAAATTAATCTGACTGAATATGCTCTTAAATTCTTCCATTCCCAGAATTTTAATTTGTATGACCATATGAAATTGACTGGGCAACTTGTTTCTTACCTGTGGTTCATGACATGGATTTAAATTTGGTATGGATTAGTAAAATACAAAGCAAAACATGTAAGAAGTGCAAAATTATCTAATCAATTTTTCAGGCAATGAGAAAAAAAAATGGAGAATCAAATTTTTACCTGATCTCCTTTGGAAAGCAAAAAGTCAACTAGCATCTGTGAATGACATATGACCTACATCACAGAAAAAGGAAAAGAGAAGAGATATGGAGAGCACCACAGAGTCCCTTTTGTGTTCATACTGCATAATGCATTTCCAATGCAGAATGTAGAGCAAAAAATAAATCTGTTACAGGTAAACACAACCTATACGATATATACCCTCAACAGGGTCCAAAGCACCAAAGTCCAAAGAGAATGCAAGAATACTTCAAGTTGTATCAGGAAATCAAACTCCACTGATGATACATGAGAGGGTTCAGTTATCTACTTATTAGACAAGAGAATAAGCCTTTGACTTAAAAAAATAAAACAATAAAACAGAAATCCAACAAATAAAACCAAGTACTCTCCTCTCTTAAACAATAATCTAAATGACGTCTGTATTTGTACACCAGGTACTTGAATGCAGAAAGTACTCAATTTGATAGCTGGCTGTATAAGCACATGCAGCGAGTCTCTATGGAAATACACAGCTTTATCCAGGGTACAGCGTATAAGCCTAAGGAGACAGAATTTTAATTACATAAGAAATCCTAAGTTTGCCACTTTTTTCAGATGCTAATGTTCCAAGCACAGCAACCACCCTTTAAAGATATCAGCACCATTTCATTCTGCATGCTTTATACCAAGTGAGAACACACAGAGCAACCAACACAACACCACCCATACACACAATAAGATCTGTTACAAACGGACATTTTACAACAGCAGAGCAAATAAATAAAGATCATGGCATGAAAGGAAGTGGAAGGAATATTTTGCTTCCCTTTTACTTAGCAATTACTGCCCGCAAACATTAATAGGCATTTATAATTGATTATTTCACTGAAGCCCTTTTACGTCCTATGTGAACTGGTACACGTCCTTCATCCCTCCCCGCCAACAAGTACTGCCAGTCTGTACTTTCTTTAGCAGGATCCTAGTACTTTGTAATGTGCAGGCCAGGTATTATAGTCTGGGACTGCCTTTGTTGCATGTTTTTAATTTTTATAATTACGTGCACTTTATCACAGGACAGGCAAAAGAAAGCATTAAATGAATTCTATCACCTCAGTGTCCCCACCACCCCCAAAAAAGCACACTTCCTAATATTCAAGTATCACATGAACAGGGTATCAGGATAAAGCCATTCTTCAGTTTCACCCTTGGTTGGCCAGGGTGAAAGCTAAATTTCTGAAAAGTTAACAGATTTGATGCAACCTTCCTGCTTTAGGTCTTCCTTATTTCTCTTCAGACTATTCTACCTGAATTTACTTTTGTCCAGACCAGGATCCTTCCTAGCAGAAGGAAAATTAGGAGTTTCGTCTACTGACTTTACCTTCTGGTAGTGAAGTCACAACCACTGCATTCCTAAACACAGAACTTAAAAAAAAATGAATCAAGAGGCCTGGCATGTCTGGCTGAAAAAAAGAGAGAGATCAAACACCATTTCAATGATATTTCATACAAGCTGCTGTAATGATTCTTCTCTTATTTCCTAGATTAGTCGGGTTTTTTTCCCAGACTAGTGTTTTTTGATTTTTAATCTGGAGGTCTTCTATAGTGGGATCCTGTACTGCAAATTTAAAAATACTGACAACAACCTTCTTTTCCTATTTACCCTTTCCAGTGTCTCTGTTAATAATCCATGAAAATCCCAAAGCCTGTGGGCCAACATAAAAGAAAAAAGACAACGCTGAATACGTTCCTAGTTGTACAAGCTAGCTTTGAAAGCAACCTCATTACTAACAATGAAAATTAAAAAAATATAGTAAGTCGTCTTCTTCTGTTTGCATCCCTTCTGTGCCACACCAAGAAAGCACCAATGAATGGTCCATGGTCACCCTTGTACAAAGAAGACAGGAAGAAAAAAACCACTTCTACTTACTTGGTGTTAATTCTGGGTTTCCTTTTAAGTTCATCATCTTTGGAATTGAAGGCCCATATATGTCAGCATCAAGTAGACCAACTTCTTTTGCCTGTGTAACGAACAAAAAAAAAGTATTTGTCAAAATGTCTGTCTTTATGAATCATTAGTTGAGCAAAATTTCAAAACTGCCCGTAAGAATAAGAATGTGATCTTGATTTTAAATAATAGGTTATCACTGTTTCCTTTCTCACTAAACTGCAATTGAAGCATGAAATATAACAATGTCTCTACAAGTTGAGCCAGACATCTTCATAAAAGTCTAGATTCTCAATACAAAGAATTCTCACTGGCACGTTTTCTTATTTACAATGCAGACTACAGACTTTGTATTAACAAATATTACAAGCAATGTTCTCTCTAATCCATGTACATTTATGCAGAAATAATATTTTAACTTTATTTAAAAGGTATCAAAATTTATTGTAAAAAAAGCACAATGTTTATAAATATAATTGAATTAATGCAATTTGAATTATACTATTGACTACAAGGAATGTGAAAAGCATTAAAAACATATTTTCATCTTCCATTTAAGTGGCCAGAGTAAACTTTCAGACATCTTCAAAATAGTGAAATGCAAGTCTCTGAAGCCAATTAAGCAGACATAACATTTTAACCAAATGCATTTACACAAAAGAATGCTAAAAAATGGGTTTATTCAACTACATATGGTACATTAGGCAATAAACTTTAAATAAAAATTATTTCAACTATGTAGTCTAGACTTACGAGATTCTATATGTTTTTTTATAGATATACATACATATTTTGTGGAAATTAAACTATTTTTCCTACAGATGGCGAGATACACTACCAATTACCAAGTTCTGCAAATTAAGAAGAGTGAGCCCTTTAAATTGCTGAACATCAAGTTTCCATAATATAAAAAGCAAACTCTTCAACATTTTGCAAAATTGCAAGCAAGTATGTTTAAGGTCTTGTTTGAAAGGTTAAGGCAGCAATGGGAGCTTTTCCAACGACGTCGAATCAGACCTTCACTGTTAGTTTTTCAAAAAGTGTGCTTTATCTTTTGGATGAAACTTTCACAGTTTGGTATCGTATCTTAAGCCATTTTGTTATCACAGTTTTGATGGGAAAGTTGGAAAGACAAAACCTCAGTGACAACTATCAAGTTTCCGGTTAGAAGAAGAGTATAACAAGGCTTTTAATGGAAGTACACAGCATCTCTACCCTTGAACAGGATTTCTAAACATGAAGTGTATTCTGTGGCATCACAATCAAGTTTGTTTGATTTTTTTAAAAACAGAATTGCACTTGGATTAAAAACCTAGGTGTTCAGGCCACTAATTCTAAATAAATCTGAAATTTGATTAAGATCAAGAAACTAAATCATAGAAGCCTAGACACCTTAGAAATAAGACTAATCCTTGTTGCTATAACAAATACAATAATTCAGGATTAGGGGGTTGTTTTTCTGTGGAGGTTGCTTTCTTTTTTTCTTCTCTTTTTTTAAGCTGTTGACAGTAAACCCTGAAGGCACCCTTCACAGCTGAGCAATTTAAACTGTCAAATTTACCTAATATAAGCCAAATGCATCTTAAATTTAACAACCAAGAAGTGAAAAATGCATTACTGTAGGTGATCTACTATGTACTTTGAAAAGTAAGTTTTTACTACAAAAATCAACCAAATCTGGGTTCAGCTATTCAATGTACTTTTCTATTAAACAGAGCAAAGCATATGTAATTGCATGGATTAATTAATTTAGATATTTTAATGTCTCTTTCTTTATAACGTCTTGTGAAAGCTATTAGAAAAAAGTTCAGGAGTTACACTGACAAATGATTCTACTTCTTGCCTACTGCATGAAAGCTGCAATTTCAAAAAGATTGAAAAGACCCATTTTTACGTTAGATTTCAAAGACATCAACAACAGTATTAGAGCCTCTTTGTTCTTGTACTAAACGCATATTTTAATAGATTAGAAAGATTCATGACTCAGTCCCTTTATCTGTGTCAGCACCTAATCGAACTGATCAAAACATCACCTACGGGCTGTGCCACCTAATTACTTCTCAAATGAAAGTAAGTATTTGCAGAAAAACCTATACCTGACTGACATCCTTTCCCTCAACTTTCTGAGGGTTCTCCCCCCAATAAGGATCATGAATATGTACTAACTAAGTACAATGATCTTACAATTCACTACAGTTTTGTTTTCAGCCTAAAGGGACTGAAGATTTTGGATATCTAAATTAATGAGATTGACTTCATGACCTCCTGGGCATAGTCAAGATTTTCACCACCACAGGCCACTTATTCCCAGGAGTCAGCAGGAAAGGATCTACAAATATATGAAGTTTCCTGAAGTGAAGAATAAATACATGCCCACTGGAGAAAAATATCCCCCAACTATCTTGGAGGGCTTTGCAAATTCAGGTACTACCCCAAATTACAAAGCTGATCTTTGTTTCAAGCTAATACAATAAACCTGACAGCTTCTCAAAAAAATTTACACACTTCCTCAAGCATACCTGTTTCCGAGATGCACCATTTTAGCTTGTGGATACGTTCGTGTTCAATAAAACAGTCATCTTCAAACAGAAAAATAATTAACAGGTTCTCCAGTTTCTACAACTCTTGTTAACGACAGCCCAAGTGTTTCTGTAGGCGTCGTGCTTTCTACAGGACTATAGGAGAAAGGTCTTTCAGAAAAATCTTTAAATCACTGGCAGAACCTCACTGAAGACAGCCTAAGGTAGTTCTTTCCTTCATAAAGCAATTCATCATGTTAGGTAAAAAGACTTCACACTGCCTAAAAGTAGCAGCTTACACAGAAAGCACTGGCTCAATAAGCTAAGGGGTTGAGTTTTGTTTCTCCTAACTATCCCTGCATTTGCATTATCTAAGCATCCCTAGAATACTAGTAATAACCCTTCACCCAAGGTTTAATTATCTTTGAAAATCATTACGGCAGCTACCAAGCGATCTTTTAAGGCAGGCACAGACAGCACAGTCCAGATCATCTTTTCCAGCATTTACATTGTTTTAAATCCCCAAGAGATGAAATAATTTGTATACACCTGGATACTACCACATGAAACTGTTAATCAGAATTACCAAGACCAGATACTTCTCATGCTGAGTGAACTTTAATCCAGATGCACGAGTTACAATAATGAAAAAAATTAAATTTTAATAAAATGTGTTTTCACCCACGTAACCCACACCTCATATCAATCATCACATCTTTCAAAGTACTGCTCTGTTAAAACAATTCCTAAAAAACATGCATAACATCAGAGAATGCAAAGAAGAACGTCTGGGCAGGATGCAAGGAACAGATGACGGGATCACAAGCAGGGCCAAGAACACACACAAAAAAAAAAGAACGAGAAAAGAAAAAGCTCTAGGATTCCTCTAATGTCCTCTGACATTATTTTCATGTGCATATACATTTCATACTGATGCTGAATCATTTTTTTTCTGAAGTAATATTAGGGTTATGCACACAGAAATGCAGCAGCCAAAGCACACCCAAGCATGTCAAAGTCACCCTGCTTCTAAGTGTTTTTCAGAGCACAGCACATACCACTGCCACAGCCACCCTCGGCACTCTGCAGGAAAAGAACTCAGGTAATGTAACTCCACTTCGCATTTTCTCCTTATGAAAATATTTCTATCCTGTGCTATTAACAAACAGTATTCCGGCTCTCCAGCTGGCATAGCAATATCCAAGTTCAAAACAGCTGTTCTCAAGTTAACAGTTTTCCTTTTCTTCCACCCGCCCAGATGTGGAAGAAAGTCCAAATCAATCTTCAAGTTTACTACATTTGAAAAATACTTACTAGAGACCTGTGGGGTTTTTTTGCCTAACTGTAAGTTCTGAAGAGCTTAAACTCTGAAGATATAACTAACTATGTAAGCATTTCCACATGATTTAATCATGTACTTCCGTGTCACTGGACATAGGGCAAGCTACTTTGAAAAAAATATACTGAAGTAACACATGAAGAATCATCAGGCTCTTCGGTAAGACCATTATCAATATTTCATCAGGCACAGAAAACACAAAATTAAAAACAAATATTTTGTCTGCACATCAAAACACAAAAGTACTCTTTTGGTCTATGCAGCAAAAAGTATACTTAAACACTCACAGATGTTTGTATTTACCTTCTTATCAACGCTCTTAAGGTTCCCCCCTGTCTAGCTAAATGTTCTCTAGCATAGGCTAACTACTGCTAGGATTTGCTAGATTTGCTCTTTCTGCACTACTGGTGCCAGCTGTCACAGTCTCATCCTATCACTGGTGAGTTCAAGACCACCAAAAAAAAAAAAATTACAGGATAAAGGACTGTGGTAAAGAACTATAACTCCTCTTCATCTTTTCCTCTTACATCACTGACTACATCATCCTTTTTACTTCACTACCATTATTTTTCTCAACAAGGTATTAATTTGCCCAATTAGACCGGTCTAAATATTTCTGACAAATACCCAGGATGAGGTACATCTATATAATCACTGCATCTCTTACCCCAGTACCAATAAGTTAAGTTTTCACACCAATTTAGAAACTTCTCTCATCTACACTAAGAAATGAAAACAAGTTTTCACAATCACCAGGTACAGATTCTGTATTTACAAGAAAACCAAATGCTACATCAATAGATAAAGAAGATATCCTTGAATACACCCCTGAAAGATGAGAATCCTACAGCTTCCTTTTGTGCAGCACACAAATTACAGGCATAGATAACCCCACTTAAAAGATCCTTTCCTTTAACTTCTCTGGCAAGACTCTCAATGCAATTAAAGTTTGGTTTAGCCTCTGAACTTGGCCACCACTTTGTGAGCGACGGATCTGCAAGATAGCTGTATTCTGAATTAATGATTTTCAAGCTCTGAACCTAGTTGCAATAAATCCTTTCGGGGGAAAAAAATAAAGTTGTTGAAGGTCATATTAAACACACTCTCTCTATATACTGTCAGAGAGAGGACTTGTAAGAATACAGTAAATTTTGCCTCCTTCGCCTTTCCTTATGCAGATTCAAAATTATTCAATTGCTATTATGTTTGCTCTCT